TCGGAGGGGGGGGGGGGGGGGGCGCGGTCCCTGCCGGGCAGCACCCTGCCACGCCCCAGCGTGTCGGGGGGGCCTTGTCTGGGGTTCGCCCCCACGAGTGAAGAATGGCTGGCAACTAGTGGGTCCGTGCTCCTCCCGATGTCCAAGATTTTGTTTTCATCTGTCCTCTTGTCCATGCATGCTTCTCGCTTCTGCTGTATCTTCTGTTTGTGTGTGTGGGTGTTTGTGTGTGTGTTTGTGTGTGTGTGACTGTGTTTGTGTGTATGTGTGTCTGTGTGTGTGTCTGTGTGTGTGTCTGTGTGTGTGTGTTCTGGCCTCCTTCTGGTGAGAAGACATTTTTGTGCCGTCGCCACTCGTTCTGCCTCTGTGCGTCCTCGGGGCTCCATTGAGCCAGACAGATATGGATGTCTGCCAGGTCACTGACATGCCAGCACTTGGACGATACCTGATTTGCTCATACCGTCAGACACGGTTGGGTCTATCCCTCCCTGCTTCCCTCGGCGGCCAGCCTGGGGGAGAAGGCTCGGAAGTCCCCGGGCCTTCTGAGGAGATTTCGAAGCCTCCCCCGAAGACGCAGAACAACTCCTCCAAAGGCCGGAGGGCTTCCGAGAAGCCCTGCCGCCTTCTGAGAGGGCCTTCTCCTTGTCACTTCCCCCCCTCGCTCCCCGCCGAAGGCTGCTCCCAAACCCGGGGAAGCCAGGGAGGATTGGCTGGACCCCCGCTATAGCGCCCACCCCCCGGATGGCTTTTGGATTAGAAATCGGGCGTCGGGCGGCCGCTCAGGACGACTCGGGCCCCCCGTGAACACTCTCGACGAGGCGCGGCTGATGAGGAACCGCGCCTGCCCCACGAAACCTCCCAAACCCATCGAACACCAGCGAAACACCACGAGTGCAAAACAACATCGAACTCCGGCGAACGTCTTCCGAACATCGTCGCGTGCGCCCCGAACTCGATCCCGAAGGTTTCCTCAAGGCGTCGAAGGCCCTCTTCTTCCACGCCCTCGCTCGCCGCCGATTCCTGTTCCCTTCCCCCCCCCCCCCGCGGCATCGTGCCGTCCAGCCGCTGCTGGGCCCCGCCCCCGAGGTGATCGGCACGGTCGCCGCCAGGGGAGACTGCCGGGCCCTGGAGGCGGTTTGCGGCTGCACGGCCGACTGGGACGAGGACGTGAGGCCCGCCCCTCGCGCGTGCTGCCTCGCGCGGATTTCGGCGACGGTGGAGACCCATGCCAAGAAACACCCTGCTTGCCTCCAGGGTGCCCTGGGTTTCGTGGGTTTCGATGTTTTTTCGCTGGCGAACGTGACGTTCCCACACCAAAGATCAGTGGACGTCCTAGGGCTCCAGGGTCGGGTTTCTCGTGGAAGGTTTCTTGTGGACTGGCCTCCACTGTACGCGTAGGAGTGGCCTTTCGCCAGAGAGACCTTGGTCGGGGAGCGAGGGGGGGAGCGAGGAGGAGAAGGCCCTCTCGGAAGGCTCGGAAGTCCCCCCGCGCCTTCTGAGAAGGTTTCGAAGCTTTCCCCGAAGACGCATCTCTCAGAAGCCCCGCCGCCTTTCGAGAAGGCCTTGTCCTTCTCACTCCCCCCCCTACTCGCTCGCCTCCGATAGGAGTGACCTTCCTCCAGCGTGTCCTCTGGCGCGGGTCCAAAGGGTCCCCCCAGGAACTGGCCCGCGCGCTTGGATCTGGTCCTCCCGCGGCCCCCCAGAGCGGGGCACCGAAGGTCGCTCTTGCCCAGGCCGCTCCCGGCGTGTGGCCGAGCAGGAGGAGGGCTGTCGGGGTTCGTGGTACGAGGCTTTCGAGTGTCTCGGAGAAGCAAAACGACATAAACATAAACTTGTCGGCGCTCCGCGCGGATTCCTTGGGTCCGCGCTGGGCCCCCCCGAGCGGCGCCCCTGGCGCGCTCCGCGCGCCAGGGAGGGAAGTCCAGCGCAGGTCCAAGAAATCCGCGCGGAGCGCAAAGTTCCCCGATCAGAGCTTGCCTCTGTAGGGGTCCTGGCGGATTCATGCGGTTCGGTCAGGTTTGTCGGTTTGTCGCCGATTTTCGCTGCACGCCCAGGTGCCCGGGGTCCCCAGAGCCCGGGTGCCCGCGCGTGCCCGGGGGTGCCCGGGGGTGCCCTACAGCCCTATAGCTCGATAGCCCCATAGCCCAATAGCCCTATAGCCCTACAACTGTATAGCCTCACTCTGGAAAGGGGGCTCCTCGGCGATTCAAGCAGACAAGTTCCTCGACGATCTGTTTATGCAATGGCTCTTCGATTCAAGCTGACACTTCTACAGAAAGTGAACTGGTGTTTAGATCCTGCCACAACTCAACTTGTGTCTAAAATTGCTGCGGTGAGCGGCGCAGGGAAGAGAGCGCCGGCACACACACGCAGCCACCTACCGCCCCAACCAACCTCCATGGAAGCCATATTCAGTGCGAAAAATCTCATTCAAATTATTGATTTTTCGGGCCCTGTCCGAAGCCATCCGCCCCCGAAGAGATGGCAGATAGCTCCGCCAGGCCACCCTCACGGGGGAAACCTGCAAGCCCGATTCGCCCAGCATTCGCTGGAAAAAAGGGTTGGAATTGAAAACGCTAACTGCTTTAGCGATTAGTTTACACCAGTGGGGGTGAAACGGAAGAATCAACCACACTGGGGTGCAAGTCTCCCTTGGGCGCGGGGGGCTCCTGGGAAAAATACCCTCCAACAGAGATGAATTGAAGCATGCGTTGGTGAGCCGATTTCTGAATTCAAGTTTGACGTCCTTCTCCTGGCTGGTGTGGCTGCAAAATGCTAGCATGGTCTGGAGCATGGCCCTGGGCCAGGACCGGTGCACAGACCACGGGTGCGCACTCGTTGACGCCAGTGGGATCGTCAAAGTTGTGATCTTAAACGCTGGCTTTACAGAAAAAGCTCCTCCTGCGATGCAAACCGACAGTTGGAGCCAATGCGACTCCTTGACATGCCCTTCGTCCAAAACCAAACGGAAATATCTGGATCGGTGTTGCATGATACGAAGAAAGGCACTGAACTTTGCAAAGTCACGATATGCAATCAAAATGTCGTCCTTGAACCTCATGTAAACAGATACCTGGAAATGCATGCGTACATATTGCGAGCACGCCCAGGATTCTAAACGGTTTGCAAGGGCCACATCTGCCACTTCCCCAGAATGGATCAATCCCATGCCAGAGCCCACAACGACTTGGTGCCTGTGGTTTGGCCAGTGTGGTGATGACACGTACTGATGCGCAAGTAGTAACTGCAAAGCACGCTGAACGAGTGCTTTCTGAGCGCCTGTCATGTGAGACGTCGCATCCTGTATTAACTCGTCCATGGACCCAGACATGAAGTAGTCCTTGATGTCAATTTTCGCCAAGCGGGTGCCTGGCGCAGCGTGGCGGCCACGAAGATGCCGCGCAGCATCGACAGCATCGCGGACCAACCAGGGCAGATCGGAAAGATGTCTTCGAAGAACTCCCGATACCCACTTGGATAGCCCAGCGAAGGAATACTGTGCGCTACAATGCAATGCCCGGAACGTCACTGGATTCTTGTGGGTCTTGCACGTCTTGGCAAGACGAGCTGTTAGAGAAGCTCCTTTGATGTACATGCTGCGGATGATCTGCCCCGAAAGCCCCTCTACCCCCTCGTAGTCCTCGATGTCTCTTGCCACGCGAGCGTACTTTTTCCAGACATGGGTGAAATCGACATCGAACTCATCCAAGCTTTTGTACACGTCTGTGGTGAGTATGCCGAGGTCAATGCGCCTGTCGTCCATGAGCCGGACGAGCGTGAAGCCGACCTCCTTGTCGTTCGGCACAGCCACCATGTTGGTGCGGCGCAGCAACGAGAAGGCCAGCTTGACCAGGGGCAACGTGTTGGTTGGTCTGCTTCGGTGGCTAAGCTGCGACTTGCTTGCCGCTGCCGCCACGGCCTTGCGGAGGCCGTAGATCCAACAGTCCAGAGAGGGAGTGGACATCTTGTTGAATTCGGGGGTCTTCGATCCTTTCAGCTTGATGTACGCAGAATCACGGCGACTGCCATGGAACCATCTCCATTTGAATTTGTTGGCAAAGGTGCGAAGGTCATCAGCCAGCAGCTGATGATTCGGCATGGCTTGAGAAGCAAATATGAATTTAGGATTGAACGTGCTCAATAGCCAGAGGACTGGCCAGGGAACGTCGACGGCGTCGCGGAGCACTCCAGCAGGATGCTCGAACACCTTGACGCGCCCCGCCACTGAAGAATACCGCATTAACGATATCCATGTGGCCACGTTTGCCCCAGACAACAAGCGCAAGATCATGCGAGTCTGGGCCGAAGAGCTCCTCACTTCTTTCCGCGCTTTCCTTTGCCTTTCTTGCCATAGCCTTTGCCTTTCCCACCTTTTGGCTTGCCTTTGCCCTTCCCCCTGCCCGCGCCCTGTGGTTTGGGCGGCGTGCTGCGGGAAGCTGTCTGTTGCTTCCCCCGGGCTCCCCCGGGGGGTCCGCCGTTTTTTGCCAAGGCTTCGACGAACTTGGCTGTGTGTTCGTGGCCGGCGGTTGCACCGCCTGTCCCGGGAAGGTCTTCCACGACCATCGAGTCCTGGGCCGCCATTGCCTTCTGAACTGCAGCCTCCGCGATGTGTTCCACAGCGTTCTGGAAGAGGGACTCCGGCTTGGTCTGCAAAAGTTGCTGCTCCTTCTGCTCTTCGGCTCGCCGGTGTTTTTCGAGCGCGTCCCGCTTGCTGGCTTCAGTTTTCTCCACTTTCAGCACGGCCCGGCGGTAGAGCTCCTCCACCTTCTCGGCCCGCATCTCAGGGCTGACCTGCTTCATGAGGGGCTCCTCCAGGCCTAAATCTGAAGCTTGAGACGAACAGGCTTTGTCCATGATGTCTTCGCACGTCTTGGCAAAGACGCTCTTCTTGGACATTTCTGCTGCGTTAGCGGAGGAAGACTCCAGAGCCTCCACGTCGATGGCCCTCAACTCATGAGCGACCCATCTGTGCAAGGCAGCTTTAGCTTCTCTGCGGGTAAACCCCTTGGGAATCGTACATAACTGACCGGACGGCAACGCAACAGACACGTCCGTCGATGCAGCTGTGCTCCAAGGAGCGTCCAATTCCACGTGGTGGGCTGGGTTTTTGAATGGCCTCATCCCGTTGGGGTAAGACCCTTGAGCGAGAAGCTTGACGTCTTCAACTGCCTTTGCATGCATTGCCTTCGCCTTCACTGATTTACCCAAATTCTGCTCGAAATCGTACGTCACCTTATCCAAACTCTTGTTCAAAGAAGCTGGGAAACTCTTGAAGAATGTATTACTGCCAACGTTGCCCTGTGCTGCCTCTGGCGTGGCGGTGCCTCCAGTTGCACCTCCCACATCCCGATGAGAAGCAACTTGCAGAATGGCCTGCTGGAGGGCCTGGAAGTTCTGCTGATTTTGCTCGTTCATGGTGTGGAATGCTGCGATGAAAGCTTCGTTCTGCCTCGTCTGGGCCGCCACCTGCTCCCGGAACGTCTCGAGAATGGTCTGGACGGACTCCGGGGGGGGCGGCGGCGGCCGCGGTGGTTGCCGCGGCGACTGGCCAGCGGCCTGCCTGCCTTGCGTCGCATCGCTCGGGTGGGCCCCTTTGGGAACCTTCGGTGGCCCCTCATCAATCGACGCGATGGCTCGAGCTGCACTGGGTTGGGAACTGCTGCCGACACCGGGAGAATGCATGATAGACTCACTCTGGAAAGGGGGCTCCTCGGCGATTCAAGCAGACAAGTTCCTCGACGATCTGTTTATGCAATGGCTCTTCGATTCAAGCTGACACTTCTACAGAAAGTGAACTGGTGTTTAGATCCTGCCACAACTCAACTTGTGTCTAAAATTGCTGCGGTGAGCGGCGCAGGGAAGAGAGCGCCGGCACACACACGCGCGCGCACACACACGCGCGCGCACACACACGCGCGCGCACACACACGCGCGCGCACACACACGCGCGCGCACACACACGCGCGCGCACACACGCGCGAGAGACCTTGGTCGGGGAGCGAGGGGGGGAGCGAGGAGGAGAAGGCCCTCTCGGAAGGCTCGGAAGTCCCCCCGCGCCTTCTGAGAAGGTTTCGAAGCTTTCCCCGAAGACGCATCTCTCAGAAGCCCCGCCGCCTTTCGAGAAGGCCTTGTCCTTCTCACTCCCCCCCCTACTCGCTCGCCTCCGATAGGAGTGACCTTCCTCCAGCGTGTCCTCTGGCGCGGGTCCAAAGGGTCCCCCCAGGAACTGGCCCGCGCGCTTGGATCTGGTCCTCCCGCGGCCCCCCAGAGCGGGGCACCGAAGGTCGCTCTTGCCCAGGCCGCTCCCGGCGTGTGGCCGAGCAGGAGGAGGGCTGTCGGGGTTCGTGGTACGAGGCTTTCGAGTGTCTCGGAGAAGCAAAACGACATAAACATAAACTTGTCGGCGCTCCGCGCGGATTCCTTGGGTCCGCGCTGGGCCCCCCCGAGCGGCGCCCCTGGCGCGCTCCGCGCGCCAGGGAGGGAAGTCCAGCGCAGGTCCAAGAAATCCGCGCGGAGCGCAAAGTTCCCCGATCAGAGCTTGCCTCTGTAGGGGTCCTGGCGGATTCATGCGGTTCGGTCAGGTTTGTCGCCGATTTTCGCTGCACGCCCAGGTGCCCGGGGTCCCCAGAGCCCGGGTGCCCGCGCGTGCCCGGGGGTGCCCGGGGGTGCCCTACAGCCCTATAGCTCCATAGCCCCATAGCCCAATAGCCCTATAGCCCTACAACTGTATAGCCCTATAGCTCCATAGCTTTATAGCTCAATAGCCCTACAGCCCTATAGCCCCCTAGCCCTATAGCCCTGATGGGGGGTTTTCTCCGGTATCAGAAAGTTTATGTCGATGGCGTTTGTTTCTGATTCTAGTGTCTGCGTCGGGTCTCGGCAGTTTTTTCCAGCCTCGGGGTGCTCTCCAGCAGCTGCGCCTCGCACAGGGCGTTGCGAGGGTGCCCAGATCGTCCCGAAAGGCCGCCGTAGAACCGACCCGAAAACAAAGGGGGCAACGTTGGCGGGGGCTAGGCTCAGTTGGGGACGCATCGACCCATAGCCGCCCAATGATAGCCGAGAGTGGTCCGATAGCCCCGGCCCGCCCAGGAAGGTGCGGATTTGCCATCGGGGGTCACTCGCCGATGTATCGGCGTTGCATCGCCCGTTCCAAGCCGATATTTCCCCTTACGTTGCCCCCTAGCATTGCCTCTCGGCCTCGTGCGGACGAGGAGGACCTGCGACGCCTTGAGGAAATCTTCGGGATCGAGTTCGGAGCGCACGCGATGATGTTAAGGGGCCTTTCGCTGGTGTTCGATGGGTTTGGGAGGTTTCGTGGGGCAGGCGCGGTTCCTCATCAGCCGCGCCTCGTCGAGAGTGTCTACGGGGTGCCCGAGTCGTCCTGAGCGGCCGCCCGACGCCCGATTTCTAATCCAAAAGCCATCCGGGGGATGGGCGCTATAGCGGGGGTCCAGCCAATCCTCCCTGGCTGCCCCGGGTTTGGGAGCAGCCTTCGGCGGCGAGCGAGGGGGGGAAGTGACAAGGAGAAGGCCCTCCCAGAAGGCGGCAGGGCTTCTCGGAAGCCCTCCGGCCTACCGAGGAGGTTTTCCGTGCCGTCAGGGAAGGCTTCGAAAGGTTCTCAGAAGGCCCGGGGGACCTCCGAGCCTTCTGAGAAGCCCCGACCCTTCTCCCTTCCCCGCCGGGCGCGCGCCGCCGAGAGGTGGTCGGGGTTCGTCCACCTCGACCTCGGGGAGGCGTTGAAGCAGGTCCGCGCTGACCAAAAGGTCAGCCAGGCCGTGCCGCGAGCCCGGGCGAGCCGGCAGGGTGCCCCTTCCCCTCCCTCCGCGGGCCAGGGCTCGAGAGCTGCTTCGCTGTCAGGGCCAGGGCTCGCGGCACGGCCCGTCTGACCTGTTGGTCCGCGCGGGCCTGGGTCAGCGCCTCCGCGGGGTCGGGGTGGAGTCCCCCCGGGTCGGGGTCGGGGTCGGGGTTCGTCCACTGGACGAACCCTGACCACCTCTCGGCAGCCCAGGACAACCCAAGGTGGCCCCAAGACGGCCCAAGATGGCTTCAAGACGGTTCCAGATGGCCTCAAGAGCCTGGAACGCAGAAGAGGCGCCCGCCCGAAATGAGCGCCTTCTGTGGACGATGTGCAGTTAATGCGCGTCGCCCAAGACGCCATTACTCGCTCGGCGCCACGCTGCGGCCCGACCTGCAGCGCCAACGCGAGCGCGAGAAGTATAATGCGACAAGAACTCGGCGGCGCGCCCGGGGGGAAGCGAGAAGGGGCGGGCTTTCTCAGAAGGCTCAGAAGTCTCCCGGCCTTCTGAGAACCTTTCGAAGCCTTCCCCGAAGACACAGAAAAACTTCTCAGAAGGCCGGAGGGCTTTCGAGAAGCCCTGCCGCCTTCTGAGAGTGCCTTCTCCGTTTCACTTCCCCCCTGCGCTCGCCGCCGAACCTCGCGTCGTGGGGAGATCACAGCGGAAGGCTTGTGGTGGCCAGGCTTCCCCGAGCGCTTGGCCGGGCCTTGAGGGCCGTCAGCAGACGGCCCGCGGGGTCAAGAGCCGGTCCCCAGGATGGGGTCCAGATCTCTTGGGATCCACGTTGCGAACCAGGCGCGAGCTCGTAGCTGTGGGAAAGGGGAAGATGGAGAAAGGGGAGTAGCACAAATTGCTGCGTGCAGGCGGTTTCGGCTCCACCGCAGGGCCCGTTCCTCGATGCACGGCCGCGTGTGGCGCCGAGAGGCGTCAGGAAGACCAACTGCACGCAGCGGATTTGCTAGTTCCTCACTTTTGTTATCTTCCTTTTTTCGTCCGCCCCGCGAGAAGGTGGAGGGCGCGGAGGTGGAAATTTCCAAATTGCAGAGCGACGCAGGGAAATAAACAAAACAGGCTTGTGACAGCCTTCTAGTTGCAGCCTTGCCCAGAGCTCAGCTCCAACCAGCGGCGAAATCCGAACCCTACCCTCGCCGATCAACAGTTCAGGCAACTCGATGGGCGTTGGGGGTAGGCTTCGGAATTTGTCCAACACGTGGCGAAGTCCGAACCCTGCCACCGTCTCACATCGGTTCAGGAGAATCGATGGTTGGTGGGGGTGATGTTCGGATGTCGCCACCTAGTTATTCAGTCCTATGCAGGCACCCTCCCGACCCAGATATCCGACGTCATGATTCCCAACCATATTGTGGTGTTGCGTCCTCGTTGTGAAGAGACGATCCCCGCGTTCACTCCTCCCGCTGACCCCTCCCCCCCCTCTCACCATCACCATCGTCATCACCCGTTTTCTCCACACCCCTCACACGTTACATGGCCCCATAGTGAGCTCCACCGAACGTCCCAGTGTCACCGCCAGCATGCGTCCCCCCCCCAGTATAGCGCCTCGTAGCCCCATAGGGAGCTCCACCGACGGTCCCAGTGCTGCCGCCCGCATGCGTCCCCCCAACCCAGTACGGCGCTGCGTGGCCCCGTACGGCGCTCCACCGACGGCCCCAGTGCTACCGCCCGCATGTGTTCCCCCACCCAGAGCAGCGCTCCGTGGCCCCATAGGGAGCTCCACCGAAGAAGACATTCACAATTGCGGTACTCACAACTGCAGATGGTTGGGTCTTTCGCCAGGATAAGTTTTTCATAATGTCGACCCCCAGGGGTCTCGACCCATTCACCGGAACTAGTTTTTCATCCCGAGTCGGTATCTGGTGGTGCTGGGGCCCGGCAAGGACCCCCAGAGGCCGAACACAGCGAGAGACCTTCTGCCGTTGTGCTGCTCATGCCTCGAGGTGGTCTGGGGAGTGGCATCGGCGGGCTCCGTGCCTCCGCGCAACCGCCGCTCCGAGTGCCCCCTCTCCCTCGCGCGAGGATCGTCGCGCTGGAGGCGCTGGTGCCCCTGGCCGAGCCCGGCAGCCGCGCCGCGCTCGCGGCGGCCGAGGCGCGGCTCGAGGACGGCGAGGACGGCGGGCTCCGGGCGGCCCCTTTGGGTACGATAGAGACCTCTCCTTCCAGTGTTGAGTCGGGCACGTCCCTCTACAGGAGCATGGTATAAAGAAATAGTGTGGGGACGAGTTGTCGATTATGTTTGGGCGACTTGCGTGTTTTTGTTTATGGACTATGTGTAATTTTTCACCCAAAATCTACCTGTAGGGGGACAGACCCGACTTGATTCCAGTGCCTCCCAGGCTCTTCAGTGGGCTCCCTCCCCTCCTCCGCCTGCCGCCTGGGCTCGCGGCGCGGGAAGCGAGTCGCGGCCCGCCCGCGCGCACCCAAGGGCCCGCGCGTCCTGTGGCCACCGCCCCCAGCCGCGTGCCCTGTGCCGGACCAGCCTGTCTGCGGGGGCGGTGCACAACCGTTCGGGCGGGTGGCAGGGTGACCCAAATGGGGTGCGAAGAAAAACCCTCGGGGGTTGATAGACCTCCTACCCTGACGCGTCGGTTAGCGAATTGGCCGTTTTCACCCCCGCGCCGTGGTTTCGTGCTGGGTGTTCCCAGGGGGTGCAGATCAGGGTCCGTTGCGATCCCATCGATCCGATTCGATATCGAGGTCGGATTGCCCGATCCGATTCTGATCTTCTGGCGATCTGATGCGACCCGAGAGGCTTGCACAGCACGGTTGTGCATCCGGGCGCAGCCGATCCGATCCGATGTCGGTTCTTTGCAGATGCAGCCCGATCCGACACACGTTTCCATTCCATCCGACTTCCCGACTCGATGCTGACTGATCTTGCGGAAATATTGGGTACGAAAACCGGCACTTGAATTGGACATTCTAACAGGGCTCTTTATCGTCGTCGTCGTCGTGGCGGACGATGTCCACTAGAGACAGAAGGTCGCCCGCCCAAAAGAGGCCGTTGTCTGCTGTCGGTTGTGGACGACGTTTGTTGCCTGGCACCGTGCCTGCTCTGTCCGTGCCCAGCACAAAGCACAGAGTTGCGTTCCCGGGAGGACGCGCAGGCAAAACGACTTGGGGCGCTCCAAAAGGGGTTTCGCCTGCGAGGTGCGAAGCTGTTGGCATCTCTTCCTCACCGGGAGGCCGAAAGAGGCGCCCCCAGGCGATGGCGATCGTGTTTTGCTCCAGGGTGGCCGGCGCCAGCCGATTGTGTGTACACAGGCGCGATCGTGAAAGTGTGGGGGAATCTAGGCTGACGCGTATGCCCGGCCACGCGCAGAGGAGGTGGGTCACTCTTGGAAGGAGGCTGCTTCTTAGAAGGCGCGAGCCTTGCCTGTAGATGTACTCGTGGCTTCCAAGAAGCAACCTCCTAAGAATCGAGTTGGGGATCGACTACATAATCGATTTACCCCAGGATTGATTTTCCCGTTAAATCGGCGAACAATAACGTAGAATGTTCAGTAGATTTACGGAGCATTCTTCGCATATGCCATATGCCGCAAATCCGACGATACTTTGACTTGGGCGTAGATCAATTCTGTAGTCGATCCTCTGCTTGAACGAAGCCCTCCCCCCTACCCCTTACCCCGCTGTGGACGCCGCCACTGCGCGCTTGCTCGGACTAGGGCGGGGGGCGGGGGCCCAGGGGATCCAGCGGCGGGGAGCCGACCTGCGGAGGCCCGGAAGAGGGGCCTGCCCGGCCCGACCGGCATGGGCGTGGCGTTGGCGCCGGTTCGGCGTGGGGCTGGCGCGAAAAGCCTCCGGAGGTCGTAAGTTTTGCACCCCCCCCCCCCCCCTAACTCGCCCATCCTCGTCCTCCTGCCCTTCCTCCTCCTCCTCCGCCTCCTCCTCCTCCTCCTCCTCCTACCTGTCCCGACCAGAACGGGCGTGGCGTTGGCGCCCGCCCGACCTGTCCCTACCTGTCCCGACCAGAATTTCGAGCCTTTTGGGAAGGCCCGCCACTTCTCACTTCCCACCTGGGCGCGCCGCCGAGTTCTTGTCGCATTGTACTTCCGGCGCTCGCGTTGGTTCTGCAGGTCGGGCCGCAGCGTGGCGCCGAGCGAGTAATGGCGTATTGGGCGACGCGCATTAACTGCACATCGTCCACATAGAAGGCGATCAGTTCGGGCGGGCGAGTCTCCTCTGTCTTCCAGGCTCTTGAGGCCATCTGGGACCTGGGACCGTCTTGGAGCCACCTTGGTTGTCTCGGGGCCATGTTGGGTCATCTTCTCCGCGTTGGAGCGTATCTTGGATTTGTTTGGAAGCCATCCTGGTCGCCTTGGAGGCCATCTTGGCTTCTCTTGGGGACATACTGACCGTATTGGAAGTGTCTGGGAGGCGTCTTGGAAGCCATATTGGCCGTCTTGGAGGCTGTCATAGCCCTCCTAGCCGATACAGCCCATAACCTTTTTAGCCCTCTCATTGCGATTATCATGCGCATCTTAACCGATGTAATCTTACGAGTATGCATGCTTCCAATCGGCACTAACACCCTCACAATCATATATCACAACATGCATTCCTCACCTTCTAACCTGCCTGGCCCCCATGATGCTCATACCTTCCTTAATGAGGAACATCCTCGAGGCCTCGCGCAGCGCGTAATAGTACTATGACTATTATCTAGTCCACACGTCAGCTCCGTAAGCTATGGGTCGACGCTCGCGCGGCGATGCTCCAGAACCAGTCCGACGTAAATTCGACGTAAGTGCGACGTAGTCCGTCCGACGTGAACCCGACGTAGATCCGACGTGGATCCGATGTACATCGGGTCTCAAGTTGCCGTGCGAGGCCTCCAGGATTTTCCTCATAATTTCCTAAACCCTTCTAGTCTTCATGTCCCTCCTAGCCTGTTAGACATACCCACTCGAAACACAGACGAGGCAGACCAACACATCTCGTGACCTGTCGGAAACATCCCTAGACCAGCCGACACCTAGCTAAACAAGTCTAGAACCTATCGAAACCAGTCCAAAGCTTATCTGAACCAAGCCCAACACCTCCATAAACGGGCTCCGAACCGATCGAAGCCAGCCCCAAACCTGTCTAAGCCAGCCGCAAACCTATCTAAACCCGCTTCAGTTATCTGAGCCTGCACTAGACTTGTCTAAACCACACCTAGACGACCGTCAACCAATTTAAATCTGACCTGAAACCCATCTCAGCCAGCCTTGAACCTATACAAACCCACCCTAGACTTACTTAACTCCGCGCTAAGACTATCTAAACCCGCGCTAGACCTGTCTACATCACATCAAGACCACCCTACACCGATCTAAACCCGCCCTACAGCATCCAATCCCTTCCTACTCCGATACGCACCCGCCCTACACTTATCTAAGATCTAAGTCCGTTCTAAACATATTTAAACGCACACTTAACCGACCTACACCCGCACTGAACCTACCTACACCCGCCCTAAGCCTACTTAAGCCCGCCCTACACCTATCCAAATCACCAAGCTAATCCCGCCCTACACCTATCAAAACCCACCCTGAATCTATCTAAACCCGCCCTAAACCTGTCTAAACCCCTCTGGTTGTCAGGCGGGGCTGTCCCTAAACGTATCTAAGCCAAGGTATATACGTAAACGCATTCGGGTTCGACTCGAGATTCCACTGGCTCCGCGCAAGAAGAACACATACCCCCGCGGGAGCCAAGTTGATTTTTGTTGGGCTGTGGTAATGTTATGGTTTCTGCTCCAGGCTCCCGACATCTGTTTTTGTTGCCGGTTCTTGAGGCTCCTGAGGAGCAGTCTTGGGGCGTTCTTGGGTCTGTCTTGGGGCCTCGTGGCAGTTCGGGGGGGTCTTGGGGCTGTCGTAGAGGGCCCTCGGGGGCCTTATTTGGCTCCTTCCCGGGGGGGGGGGGCCTGGAGCGGTGTTTTGTGGAGGAAGTCTTGCGAACGAAACGCGACCGAGAGTAACCAATCTCGGTCGCGTTTCGCTGGGGATTTCTTGAAACAAAAACACGCGACCTGGCGCCCCATGGGATCCCAGGGGGGAGAGGGAGGGGCTGGAGGTGGAGAAAGGGGAAGAGAAGGAGGAGGACGAGGAGCACGAGGAGTAGCAAGAGCAGGAGGACGAGGAGGGCGAGGAGGAAGAGGACGAGGAAGGGAAGGACTGGGGAGAAGGGGGAGGATGAGGAGGAGGAGGAGGTAGGGGAGGACTGGGGAGAGGCCCAGTCCTGGTCTTCTCGGAAGGAGCATGTGGAGAAAGTATCACACACACGCACACACACGCACACGCGCACCTCCCCGGCTCGCCGCCCTCGCTCCACTCGGTCTCTCCTCGCGCGCCCCCCGAGCATTTCCCTCCGTCTCGCTCCCCCTCCCTGTCGCTGTCCTCGCCCTCCCCCCCGCGGGCACCCCCCCTCCTCGGCTCTCTCGCCGTCCGTCTCGCGTGCCGCCGCCCCGCCGCGCCGCCGCCGACCACTGCAGCAGCAACGGCGACGGACATTCCGGAGGTGGCCCTAGCGGCGGCGCAGGCGGGGGCAACGGCGACGGCGTCGACCACCACGAAGATGGCAGCGGCGGCGTCGGCGGCGGCGAGGAGCGCGATGAGGCTTGCGCCCTTTCAAGAGGGGCGCTGGGTGCGAGCGGCGGTGCTGATCATGGTGATGATGGTGGCGTTGATAAAGCCGTTGCTACTTTGGCTCGCGGTCGCGGCTGGCGCTGGAGCGGCTTCTGCCGCGCCGTTGTTTATCTTTTTTTGGCTGGTGCTTCCCCGAGATGCCGACACCCCCCGCGCGGAGCCTCTTGGGTGGCTCTGGGCCGCGCTTCTCACCCAGGCACGCGTCGTTTTTCTTCGGGGCCAGGGTGTTCGCGCAGCGCTCTTCGGCGACGTTTGAGGGTAGCGCGCGTTGGGGGGTCGCCTTGTTCGAGCGGCCCCCAACGCGTTGCCGCGCCCGCGTCTCGCAACGGTCTGCGGGGCCATCCTTCGTATGCCGCCCGCGCTTGCGCCCATGCGTTGGGTGGAGAGGGTCGGCGCTCGGCGCGCGCGTGCGCTTTGCGCACCGGTGCGCCCGCACGTTTGCCCGAGCGAACGCGGCGGGCACCCGCTTTCGATCTTCGCCGGCGCGGACTGCCAGTCACGATTCGCGAGGGGCGCCGGCCAACTCTCCGCGACATATCGTGGGCTGTCGGCTGCCGCGGCGTCGTTGCCGCGAGGCGTCAGTGGGGATCGTTGCGCGCGTTGGCCCCCCAACCTCCTGTTCGATGTTTCGCAGATTACGAACAACCACGTCGAGGCCACGGCGAGATCACGCCGATGTCCGGAGAGCATCACAAACAGGAGCATTGAGCGGCTTGTGAGATTCATTGCTTGGCCAATGAAAAAGTGGGAACGAAATTTGAGCTAACAGTCCAGCACGCGAGGGAGGAGAGAGATCGAGAAAACAATATTGCATGAACATAAACATTCGGAGATCCGCGCTGAATTCTTGCATCGACGCTGGACGCCCTCTCCTTGGCGCGAGGAACACGCCAGGGGCGGCGCCAGAGGAGAGGTGTTGCCAGAGCGTACAGCTCCGACACAGTCAACCCGCGCGGGCCTTCCAAAGCTTGTGTGTATGCCGTGCTTTGTTTCTTCCTGGAAGAGAGAGAGAGAGAGAGAGAACACTAAAAGAACACGATAGCACAACAACAATGCTAACCAGCGTGGACCCAAAACACAAACTTATTTCAGTGTGGATCTGTAATCATGTGTGCAAGCTGTGTTGTGCAATCTGCGTGGTGCAAGCCAGGTGGTGCGAGCTATGTGGTGCAAGCTGTGTTGTGCAAGGTACGTGGTGTAAGTTATTTGGTGCACTCTACGTGGTGCAAGCTACGTGGAGCAAGCCATGTGGTGCAAGCTATGTGCTGCAATCTACGTGATGCAAGCTATGTCGTGCAAGCTGCGTGGTGCAAGCGGGTTGTGCAAGGTATGTGGTGCAGGCCACGTGGGGAATCTACGTGGTGCAATCTAAGCGGTGCAAGCCACGTGGCGTAAGCTATATGGTGCAGGCTATGTGGTTCCAGTTATTGTCTTGGGTAGGGTCTGTTCTTCTTTGGACTTGGGAATCCACTTTGAATAACTTAAAGTCGCCAACTTCACGACTCGCGCGAACATCCCACCCTCCCACCCGCAATTTGTGTGCAAACCCATCCGGCCACGATTGCGGTTCCTGATTGGAGCTTGTTAGCGCGTCTTTACGGCCGCGTTGACGCGCGCAAGCTCGCGCGCGGAGCGACCAGCTGGTTTGGCGCGTGACGCTACAATTGATGTGGCACAGGTGGCGATTACTGGTGAGAAATTCCCAGCGCGTCTCCAAGGCCGCGCTTTCGCACGGGCACTTGAGTGCGAGCCGGTGACCCTGGCGGGTGCGATGTCGTCATGGCGTCGGCAATTGCAACACCGATGATGGTAATGGCGCTAGTGGTGGCGATGATGACGACGGTAAGGCTGATGACGGCGCCGATGTTGGTGATGACGATGACGATGTTGATGTCCATGTGCCGGTGATGTGATTGTGAAGATGCCGATGATGGCGGCAATGGCGGCGATTGGCGATGACGTTGACGACGGTTGCTCGATGGCGTTGATGAGGGTGATGAGAGGTTGCGCGCATCGAGAAATTCGATAGATTGCAGGCTGTCTGTTGGCAAACAGTTGGTGTTTCTCATTTGTGGCAGAACTCCACGTTGAGCCGAAAATCAAATGTTGGTGGAAGGATTTCGACACGCGCGCGTGGCCTCCCGCGCATGCGGATTCGTGCGCTGGGCGCATGCTCGATCAACTCGCATGCACTGCGTGGTGGGAGCAGAATGCGGGTTCTGAACGAGATTGCACAAGTAGTGAGTGTATTTGATTTCAGCAAGTGCGCGCGATGAAGTGATTGGAAGACTACTGCGTGTGATATGTGTTTCGGCATGTATGCGCGCGTGCGTTGTTTTATATGCTGGAGTGTTCTTGGAACTGTGTTGTATGGTAAACGATTGCGCGCGCATGGTATTATTTCAGAGGGGTGACGGTGCGACGATCCCGGCCTCTCTTGTGATGGTACGACTTCACATGGAAGTTTATCGATGGTAAATATCCGTATGTAAGCTGTCCTATCCCAGAGGGATTCGATAAATCCGGGCTCGGGAAGTCGGTGAAATGGTTTGATGTTTCCAGGAGGAATTGTTTCCTGCGAGTCACAGGGCGCCGGAGAGGCGCCTACTGGCGGGCACAGTGCAAACGGGGGTCATGACAGAGCGCCAGATTTTGGAGGATCCTGCAGGGCCAGGGGCGCACTGGCCCGGGTCTGGGTGCAGGATCCTGCAGGATCCTGCAGGACGTTGCAAGGCCTGACTGACCTGGGTCTGGATTGATCCGGGTCAGAAGATCCCCGAGGGCACCAGGCGAAACCTCGGCGCACCCCCGCTGCGAGGGGCGCCCACGAGGCGTCCTCGGGGCGGGCACCTGGCGGAACCTCGGCAGATCCCCCCGCGCGGGGCGCGCCCGCGGGAGTTGGCGCCAGACGACACCTCGGCATACCCGCGGGGTCTCCACGCCAAGCAGCACCCTGCTTGCCTCCAGGGGGCCCCGGGTTTCCTGGGCCTCGGTGTTTCTGCGATGGAGGGCGTGACGCTCCCAAGCCAGAAAGCAGTGGACGTCCTTGGGTCTCAGGGCTGGGCTTCTGGTGGAAGGCTTCTCGTGGTCGAGCCCCCTTCTGTACCCCTCCTCGGTGGGGGCGCCTCACGAGCGCCCTCGAGGCGCCCACGGGCGGGCACCGGGGCGCAGCCTCGGCATACTCCACTTCCCCCCCAAGCGCGGGGCGCGCCCACGAGGCGCCGACGGGCGGGCACAGGGCCGGAGACCCGGAGAGCCCTCGAGCTTGCAAGCGGTGTTGGGGAAGCTCGAGAGAGGGAGAGAGAGGGAGAGGTGCAGTCGACCCGCAGAATAAGCATGGGCAACCTTCCCAAGGGCACCCTTTGCATTTTTGCCTCCTCGGTCCATCCTGGGCCGCTTTCGTTGGCCGCGCCCCGCTCGCAGAGTGTCAACATGGTCTTCGAGGCCCTTGCATCCTTGTCGTGCATCCTGACGAGACGGGGGGGCTGTAGGGAGAAAGGTCAGGCGAGACGCTCGCCCCGCCCTCGACGCGCCCTGTGCTGCGGCAGGGAGGAGCTGCAAGGGGGGAGGGGGAGGAGGAGGTGGCGGGGGAGGAGGAGGAGGAGGAGGAGGAGGAGGAGGAGGAGGAGGAGGCATTGGGCAGAGGGAGGGGGGAAGGATGCCTTGGCCGGAGGAGCAGCACCAGACCCCATCCCTCCTCTCTGCTGCGTGCCCGCCCGCCCTTCCAGGACCGCGTCAGGAGGGTGGCGGCCGAGGCCGCCCCGGGGGCCCGCCCGCCCTCGCCGACCCCCCCCTTTGGCGATGGACGGCGGCGAGATCCGCGCCCAGCTCTCGCCGATCAACGATTCTGGCAGCCCGATGGGCGGCGGGGGCAGGGTTCGGAACTAGCTGGACACGACGTGGCGAGGCCCGAGCCCTACCCCTGCCTCCCATCGAGCCGGGAGGATCGATGGCTGGTGGGGGTGGGGTAGGGCTCGGATGCCGCCACCCGGCTTGACGGCGGCAGAAGTCGAGGAAAGCAGCACGAGGTCCATCTGCGCCGATCTTGGTCATGCCACGTGCTGGCCGTTGCCGATTCGTGAGGAGTATCCCAGGATTGACGATGGCCAAGATGAGCTATGACCAAGATCGACACCGACGTTTCCGCATTCAGTCTGGGTCAGGGTCATCAGTTTGGCTCGCTGCGAGAAGGCCGCAGCCGCTGGCATCCACTCACGGACGCCTCAAGTGATTAACACAGTGTTGTTTCAAAACATGGGCCTCCAGATGTCTGGAGGCCTTCCCAGGGACAGCGTTTTCGTCCTGCGTAGTTTTTGGCGGCCCCGAGGACCAGCAAGAGCCCCCGGAGGCCGACAATGATTGAAGACCTCCCGTCTTGATTTTGTCAATACTCGAGGGAGACCATAATAGGGCGTTTCAGAGAGTTCCCGAATGCTCTCAGAGCGTTCTGGAGCGATTTGGAACGGCCGGGGCGGAGGATACAGTTGGCGCGAGCGTGGCGAACAACCCTAGCTTTTAACGGGTACCCGTCCGTTCCTCGTGTTTGGGCTATCCATCTTGGAATGCTCTTCGTTTGGGACGTAGTCATGTGGCCTTAGGCCTTCGGCGAAGGGGCACATGTTCTTGCTCTGTAGTCTTGTGGCCACGTTTCGGCTGTACATCCTCCAGAACCGCCAGATCTCAGGGATCACCGAGTTCTACCAGTCTAAGTTAATCCCGTTTGTGACTTCATCTTAGGGGTGGAGCAGCAGCAGCCAGCAACGGCCGGGGCAGGCCTTCTCAGAAGGCGGCGCGGCTTCCCAGAAGCCCTGGAGCCTTCTGAGAAGCCGACCGTGTCTGCAAGACTTTTTCGTTCGGAGGTGGATAGACCTCCTACCTTGACACGTCGATTAAGGAATTGGCCGTTTTCGGTTCGCGAGAGGGCGTCGCGGCCGTCATTTTTGCGGGTCCAGGTCCGTCGGTTTCGGTCCCAGGCCGTTTTCACTAAAGGGAGGTTTGCTTAATCCGTAGCCATTTTGGCTCAAGCAAGTTGTTTTGCCCTGTCCGTCACCAGGGCACAGGACCGGACAGTTGGCGCCATGTCAATTGCGGTGCCTGACCAAGAGGTGGGCACTGCTCTTTCAGTCCGTCCTGTTCGGTCAATCGCCCAGTCAATCCCGGACGACGTCGATGGGGCGGACAGCGAAGAGAGCAGTTCGAGCGGAGAAATTGATTTACCAGTAGGCAATGAGGAAGAGGGCGCAGAGGAGGACTATTTTGGCAGGGTGCGCAGCATGCCCCCGATGGTGTGGGACGACGATCTTCCAGAAGACCATGGTATCACCTCGATGGAGGCAACCTTCAGCCTCATCACAGCGATTATCGGCGCGGGCATCATGGCGTTGCCTCAGTTGCCGAAGACTGGTGGAATAGTTGTCTCAACGGCTCTCATGGTCGTGAGCACGTTCGCTACGATGGAGGCTGGCAGCGCGTTCTTCCGCAGCACTATGGCCAACAATATCGTTCTCAAGCGTGGCATAAAGCTTACACACACGTACATCCACAGCTACGAGGATTATGGCTTCGTTGCTTTTGGCGCGGCTGGTTCGAATTTCATCCGGGTCATCACAGTCGGTTGGTTCATAGGGTTGTGTTCTGGCTACGTGATCTTGATGGGACAAAACGTGCAGAACATTTTGTGGCCCATCATCGAGTTGAACTATCGGGTGTGGGTCCTTATTCTGTTCCCATTATTGTGGCTTCTATCAATGATGCGAGACTTGAGCGCCATTGCGAAGTTGATGCCGGTCGGTGTGGCGGCAGCAATGGGGTCATGCATTCTGATTATCGTGAAAGGCATCATTGACATTCGAATTTGGCAAAGCGACGATTTCTTGTCGCCAGAGGCCAACGCAACCGCATCGACGATTGCCGAAATGCAACTTCACTACACGTGGCCAAGCGGAGATTTCTTGTCGCTTGGGAGTTTGACGGCCACAGTATTTGGTGCAGTTGCTTGCATGGGCAACGTGCCATCGGTCCTCGACGAAATGAAAAACAAGCACAAGTTCAGGAGGTCTTTCAGAACTGCCCTACTCATAGTCATGGTGCTATATATAGGGATCATGCTCATTGCATACCACGCATATGGGAATTTCATTCTGCCAAACATTGTGGATTCAATGAAGTTCCATCCGACGACATGGGAGGAGTCTCAGACGGTTGAACCCAAGGACTGGACCGGAGCACAATCGGTGTTGCTGCCAACAGCTATGTCATGTTGTGTGGTGATTAATCTCATCATCAGCTACCCATTAAATTTGGCTCCAGTGTTTATTGCGTTCCAGGGCACCGAGTACGGAAAGCAGAATATGAAGGTGGGAAGCAAGATGAACTACATCATGCGTACATGCATCGTCACCCTCACGGTTGCAATCCCGCTCGCGGTCTCAGATTTTAGTCTCGTTTTCAATTTGTTCGCCAGTATTTGCGGCCCTGTACAAGGTGTGTTGGCCCCAATCTGGTTTGGTTTCCAGATCCGCAAGAAGGTCCATGCTCAGAATTCTGGTTTTGCTCGCTTGAGTTGGCATGGGTTTCTTTCAGCCATAGGGTTTTTCTGTATTGCTTTTGGGCTCACCGACTCTGTGCGTGCGCTCATCGCATCGTTCACAGAGTGAGTTCCAGCAGGGAAGATACCGGAGCCACATCCGAGAGGGGATGGGGCAGAGCCGAGAGGGGACGGCGCGGCAGGGGCCAGGATGGAACATGGGGGTGCGGGTCGCCAGGCGTGCTCCAGAATTCGTCTGGCACGGTCGCCGAGTGTTGCTGAGATGGCGCGGCGCCTCGGCTGGGACGGGAGTGTAGCTTCCCCCGTGCACACACCACGTGGCCCTAGAATTCGAGGTTCCACGTACGTCATCTTCCCAAAGCATGCTCGCGCACACGGCACATTGTTTTGGGAGTTGCTCCCGCAGTGCCCCAGGACGCTTGCACACGCACACGATGCAAGCGTTGTCTCGAAACGTCAGGCCGGCACGGCCCCACGCTGTCTGCCGAGCAGAGATCGCAAGAGGAGGTCGATTGTGGAGCCAACACCGCGCTATCGCTCATTCGGTCTTTCACGATGCGAGCTCGGAGCTCCGCAACAGCACCGCTCGGCGGTTGGACGAGCGGAGGGGCGAGAACGCAGAGCACGCATGATGTACGGGGCAGAAGGGCTACATGACATGCAGTGTCGGCAACACGGCACGCACTGAATTTGGCACGGACGCCGAGCGCGGCCGAAAGGTTGCGGCTCCTCGGTCGCGACGGGAGTGGAGCTCCCCCCGTGCACACATTGATCGTTCTTTCTCTAGGCGCCAGATGCGTGTGAATCTTATTCGGGCATGTTCCAATCTCCCGCGTAAGCGCGGGGTGATACCAGCAGATGCCTTACGGTGTCGAGTGCTCCAGGCCCCAATCGGTTATGAAAAACTAAGGGGAGGTTTGCTAAAGGGAGGTTTGTCCACCGCCGATTCTTAGAAGGCGCGAGGGCTTCTGAGAAGCCCCGCCGCCTTTGAGGAGGCCTGCCCCCTCTCGGACGCCTGGCTTCACTTGGGTCGTGACCTGGCGTTCTGGCGGCCGCTCGGGACGATCCCGGCGCCCCCAGGCGCCTCGCGGCGAGGCGCAGCCGCAGACTAGAAGCGCATCCTGGGGCTGGGAGCCTGGCGAGAATTGACAGACACGCCTTGAAGCCTCACACCTCGAGCCCGAAATTCAGGCTTGCCGCCAGGGCTGGACCTTATCGGTGTTTTGGCGATTTCGTGGGCCGGTTTCGTTTCGACGTCGTTTTGTGGTAGAGGTGGATTGAAGACACAATGAGGGAAAACGGAAACAACACGAAAACGAAAAACACCGTTTAGATTCAGCCCTGCCTCAAACCTCGAGCCCGAAAATCGGGCTCGCCGCCGAGCGTCCGGCTTCGCCTCGAGGGGGTTGAAGCCGGCAGCAGCCAGCGGCCCGCAGCGGCCCGCGCCCAGGTGCTCCAGCAGCTGCGGCGCGACGGGGTCTGCGAGAGCGCGCCCGCGGCCGTCGCGGAGGCCCCCGCCGCCGCCGCCGCCGCCGCTGCCGTCGTCGTCGTCCTCGTCGTCGTCGTCGTCCTCGTCGTCGTCGTCGTTCCCGCACTGCAGGCCGCGGGGGGGGGGGCGGGCGCCGACAAACGGCGCGGTGACCATACAAGGCCCAGTCCGATCTGCTCGATGCGCTTCGCTGTCGATCCTGGCCGGCCCGAGCCAGTCCCGATGTGCTGGTCCTCCGAGGAGCCCCGTGCGGCCCGCTGCCCGCGCGACGCTGCTGTGCAGCCTGGCGCGGCCCCTGCGGTTCGATGCCGATTCCTTGGCATCGCTCGGACGTGTGCATTTTTTCCTCGGCGAGAACCATCGAGGACCATCCTGGACCATCGAGCAACAAAAAAACACGCACGAAATCAAAAGATGCACAGGAGGTGGACGTCCGAGCGACGGCAATATTCCGTGCCGATGAGGTCCGGTTCTCTAGGCCTCCCAGATGGGGTCGGAGTGGGGTCGGAGTATCGCGCCGCATCGCGGTTACATCGCCGATGCATCGGCGATGCGGCTCGATGTGGAGCCCGGTTTTCTCCACGGCGGCGTCGCCGATTCATCACCCACGTCGACGATGCATCGTCGGTGCATCGCCGATGCATCCCCATCTTCTCCGACCCCATCTAGGAGGCGTTTAGATTCGATACACGATCTGGTCCGCTTCCCGATTCGATGCTGAGGGTTCCTCCCATGGGGGGGGTGCCGACGAACGGTGCGGTGACCATACATACCTTGCGTTGGGTCAGTGTGGGTAACTAAGAGGGTCAATCACGGAAGGTTCCGCTCGTCCTGGATCGGATGTATATTTGCGAGTGGCGTCCAATAGCGCTTCAATAGCGCCACATGGTGTCCGACAGCACCAAATGGCGCCCAATAGCGCACATACGAGCCGAATTGCAGTCAAACAGCGCCCAGGGCCCCAGAAGCGACAAATAGCGACCAATAACGCCATGTGAGGGAGATGCATTATGTCCGATTTACGCGCGATTGGGAACGCTATTGGGCGCCATGTGGACGAACAAAAGCGTCCGTGGGTTGCCTCCTGGCAGTGGGGGGGTGCCGGGTGACCGCACGGTTCTGGGATCATGTTCGCTCTCCGCGGTTAGGACCTCCGAGATCTCAACACCGTGCAGTTACCGACCGTGCGGTGAGGTCTCGCGGGGGGGTTCGAGGTCACCGCGCGGTCTGTCGCCGCACCGCGTCAGGACCCCCCCGGGGATGGGGAGGGGCGCCGACCGAGGGGGGGCGGGCCTGGCCGAGGGGCAACGTCAGGATGGAGGACAGGCTCAGGGGGGACATGCAGGGACCGCCAATCGCCCATGAGCCGACACGGGGCCTGATGGCCCATCCCGCCCAGGAGCGTGCGGGTTCGCGATCGGGGACCTATTCGGGGCCCGGGGTATGTCCTCTATTCTATGTCATGGCTGTCCACCACCTAGTAGCAAATTGCGGCCAAACCGCAGTATGTTGCGAAGGCCTTACGGCCGGCGCCGCCGACCATCAAGGGCGACGACGACGACGACGACGACGACGACGACGACGACGACGACGACGACGACGACAACACTGACATGGGTCAGAGTCCTCAGGGATTCCGTTTGGGATCTCTGCGGAGCGCTCTCCGAGGCCTCTGTGGGGCAGTGTTGGGGGCCCCTTGGGAGCATCTTGGAGGCCTCTTGGGAGCCTCCTTGGGCCATCTGGGGGCCTCTTGGGGGCCTCTTAGAGCCTCCTGGGGGCCTCTTGGGGACCTCTTGGGGCCTCCTGGGAGCCTCTCGGGGCCGAGGGCTCGAAATGACAGTTTAGTTTCCCTGTCTGGGCACCCTCCTAGAGCCCACTTGGGGGCCTCTTGGGCCGTCTTGCGGGCGTCTTGGAGCGTCTTCGGGCCCTCTTTCGCCCTTTTCGGGGCCCTCTTAGAGGCCTCTTGGGGCGATCGTTGGAGCCTCTTGGTTGGTTTTCGAGCGTCGGGAAGCTGAAAAGGCGAGGACGCCCAAATCCTTGAACACTGAGGAAGATCAGTAGATTGTGCCTCGTGGGGCTCTCTTGGGAGTGCTCTTCGAGGCCTCTTGGGGTCTTCCAGCCCTCTTGGGCCGTCTGGAGCCCGTAAAGACGTCTTGGACCGATCGTTCGGCGATTCGGAATCCTCTTGGACCGTCCTGGGGCCGCTTGGGGAAGTCTTGGCTCGTCTTGGGACTTTTTGGAGCCCCTGCACACCAGGGGGGGATGGTATTTTCCCCTGGCCCCCCCCCCGTGGCAGGAAAGGGATCAAAGGGAAGGGCTTCCCTTCGACTCAATCAATTACGACGTTGCTCAATTTCGTGTTGGCTGGCTTGCTTAAGGGGACCCAGGAAAAGGGGAAGGCGGCGACGGGCCCAGGGAAAGAGAGGGAGCGGCGACGGCGACGGCGACGACGACAATGACGTCGACGAAGACGGGTCAAACGGAACAGCCTCTGCCACACGCCGACAGAGTTCGCCCGGAGAACCGGCCATGCATTCTGGACGCCGTGCGTATACCCACCAATCGGCCCGCCCGGGCTAGTCTCTCCTCCAGCTGCTCTGTTGTTGTCTGTCTTTTTCTCTCTCCTGGTGCAATTTAGGCTCCTGCTTGTTAGCTGTAGCTTTGGACGGCGCGCGGCCGTTCCGCTTGCGCTCGCGACCAAAAAATAGCCACCAGCAATTCTTGACGTTAGTCTGGGCCCCCATATGCCACGTCCCAGGTGCCGTCCAACCTCCCTCCGACTGGCCCCATGCTTTAAAAGACCGCGGTTCACGCCTTCAACGTATTATGTGGATCGAGAGCAGAGCCCACTGCCTTAAAATACCGCGGTTCACGCCTTCAACGTATCATGTGGATCGAGAGCAGAGCCCAATTTGAGTTTTCGATGACAGGACCGAGCGGACGCGCAACGAGCTCCGCCGAAAGCAAGCAGCCGCCCTAGGTGTGTCGCTCACAGAGATGGAAAAGACTATGCGCCTGGGTGATTGCGACAGGTAAGTTCCCGAGAAGATCAAGCCCCGCGACAAATCGGCGTACTTTCGACTCGACTTGGACCGAGATTACCTGACCAAGGACAAGAAGCCCGACGGCCACTGCACGGAGAAACTGGCTATCTCCATCAACGGCCCCTCCTCCGACGAGATCGCCGTGACTGAGGCGGTCTGGCCTTGACTCCAAGAGTTCGGAAACACATTCTCCGAGGCAACATGCAGGCGTCTCGGGCTTCTCAAGGGCGTCAGGTACCCCCTTCAACACCTGCTTCGTCAAGTACGACCGCGAAAAGTTCGGCCCCTTTCACCCTGATCGGATGTCGCCTCCTCCCATCGTCAAGACTTCCGAACCAATCTACAGTGTGGACAAGGCTCCGTCCGAGCTACAGTACCGGAAACTTCGCGAAGCCGTTGAAGAGATGCGCATGAAGGGGCACGACCCGCAGGACCTTTACGGCGCCCCCATCCCCGCCCTCATGTTTTTTTCCCCAGGACTCAGGAGCGCCAGTGTCGCTGACAAGCAGACTGCCAACAAGGGAATTCCAGCTCGGCCACGACATTGGCACAGCTCTCCGCCGCCGCGGCGCGCCCGGTCTTGGCGCGGCCATCCACGGCCCCGACACCTCCGACACCGCCCACTTCGGCACGGGAGGTCCGCCAGAATCAGCACGAACGACATCGACGAGAGCGTTGGGCAGGTCTTTCAGCGGCCCATGTCAGCCCCGACCGTTCCCCGACGCAGCCGCACTACCGCGGCTCCCTCCTTCAATGACCTGGGTGGATGGCTGTACGTGGTCATACAATTCACAAAACAGCCCCCTCCGACAGTCCCACGGGGTGTCACCGACACCTACCCCCACAGCCCGAACGGTGGAGCGCCGACACCCCTCCGACACACCAAAAGGGGCCCAGCGAGTGGCTCCCGACACTGCCGCGACACTTCCCAAGGGGGGTCCCCGACACCCCCCCCAAGGATTGTAGGGGGGGGTCAACCCCTTGATTTTCAACTCCCCTGGGTGGATCACGAAAGCGCGTGGTATTCAGCACCGGCAATCGGTTTCTTTGATTTTCCCGGGGGAGCCGGGGAGCCTCAGATCAATGAAAAAACAGCTTTGGCGCGTCGTCGTCACAGCGTTCGCTTCACAGTGGGGCTGTCGGGGAGCTGTCGGTGGGGCCGTCGGGGAGCTGTCGGCGGGGCTGTCGGCGCGGCTGTCGCGGGGCTGTCGGGGGACTGTCGGGGGGATTGTGTCGTCGGGGGGCGTCGGGGGGAGGTGTCGGGGAGGTGGGGGGAGTGTAGGGGAGGGGGGGTCGGGGGGTGTCTGAGGGTGTCGGGGGGTGTCGAGGGAGTCGGGGGGGGAGAGTGTCGGGGGGTGTCGGGAAGGAGTCGGGGTGGTGTCCGGGGGGTCGGGGGGGGCGTTGGGGTGGTGTCGGGGAACGTCGGGGGAGGGTCGGGTGGGGTGTCGGGGCGGTGTCGGGGGGTGTGCTGGGGGGTGTCGAGGGGAGTGTCGGTCGGCGCGGCCGTGGTCGGCGTCGTGGTCGGCGCGGTTTGGCCCTCCCAGAGCGCTGAAATTATCCACTCGACGGCGGCCCCCGACACCACCCCCGACACCTCTTCGACACCCCCCCGGCACCCCTCCCGACGCCCCCCCGACGCCCCCCCCCGACACCCCCCCTCGACACCCCCCCAGCACTCCCCCCGACATCCCCCCGACCCTCCCCGACGCCCCCCCGACCCCCCCCCCCCCCCGACACACCCGCGGAGCACGGGGGGAGGGCTTGGCGGGACTCTGGGAGCGGAGGATGGGGCCCGGAGCCCGCATGAGCCTCCTGAAAAGGGAATGAGGAACGAAGCGCAGGATGCTGAGGGTATGATACGGGGCACAGAGGAGATGGCGGCAAACGCGTCGGCAAGGTAACCAGAACAGGCCAGTGCGGTGGCGCCGGGGGGAACGTTGCCAAGGATGTATGACGCCGCGTGGTCGGTCAACTGGT